CAGGAACTGACGGAATACCAGCTGAGATGGTTCGACAAACGGATGCAGCGCTGAAAGTGCTCACTCGTCTATGCCAAGAAATTTGGAAGACAGCTACCTGACCAACCGACTGGAAGAGATCCATATTTATGCCTATTCTGAAGAAAGATGACTCAACCATATGCAGAAATTATCTAGTAATATCATTAATGTCACACACAAGTAAAAATTTTTTGTTTGTTGTTGTAGTTTAAGTGAAAGTTTACATTTCATGTTAGTCTCTTATACAAAAATTTATACATACTTTGCTCCGTGACCCTAATTGCTCTCCCTATACTGTGACAGCACACTCCTCCTTTCCACCCCTGATTTCCCGTGTCCATTCAACCAGCTCCTATCCCTCTCTGCTTTCCCATCTCACCTCCGGACAGAAGCTGCCCGTTTAGTCTCATGTATCTACTTGAGCTAAGAAGCACACTCTTCACGAGTATCACTTTACGTCCCACAGTCCAGTCCAATCTTTGTAGGAAGAGTTGGCCTAGGAAATTGTTTTAGTTCTGGGCTGACAGAGAATCTGGGGGCCATGCTTTCCGGGGTGCCTACAGTCTCAGTCAGACTCACACACAAGTAAAATTTTGTTGACAATCATTCAAAAGCAGCTGCAGCAGTACATCGACAGGGAAATGCCAGAAATTCAAGCCGGATTCAGAAGAGGACGTGGAACGAGAGATATCATTGCTGATGTCAGATGGATCTCAGCTGAAAGCAGAGAATACCAGAAGGATGTTTACCTGTGTCTTATTGACTATGCAAAAGCATTTGACTGTGTGCTTACCTTTCCTATTGGATAATCCATCCCTGCTCCCCACCCAGCCATTTTGTCACGCTGGTGGAGCTGGCCAGGTGGTGAGTTCTCAGTCAGGGCTGGCAAACATAAAACGGATGTAGAAACAGAGAACTGGGACTGTTCCCTGGGCACAGAACTAGAGAGGGGGGGACTGGAACTCAGATTCAGGCTGCAGAGCCAAGTCCAGCTCTCCATCCATCCCCACCTAGCTGCCCTCCTGGAGGAGTCACATTTTACAGTGAGCAGGTGAGCAAGGCTATAGTCAAAGGACTGACTCTCAAATGGTGGAATTTTAAACAAGAAAACGACAAGAGAGCAGAGGTTTCCAGGACTGGTTACCCGGGGAGGTAGCTTTCTGTTCCACCTCGGGAAACTCTCAGCTGGAACTCTGGGATGGCCCACCTCTCACCTGTCCTGGGCTATTGCGGGTCCTGGTACCCAGCCTGGCTACACACCGATGTGTTGTCATTGGGGGGCATCCTTTCAGGATGGGGAGCAGTATTTGCACCTGTGCCCTCTCTGGGAAAACCCTTGGGTACCATCTCCCAGTGGACATCCGGTCAATTGGTCTTCTTCCCCTAACCCGGTCCTTGCCATCCACCCTGTTCTAAAATGCACAGCTGAACATGTCCCTCCACAGCTGAAAATCCCCATCCCCTGCAGGATAAAGGCCAGACTATGAAGTCCAGCTGCTGCCCACCTCTGGCCTCATTTCCAGCCCTCCCCCGCCCCTTGCACTTCCCGGATCAACAATATCAAGTGGCTTAGAGTCTGCAAACCCCCCACGATGTCTCTCCCTCTTTGCCTTTATCCAGGTTGTTTCCTTTGACTAGAATTCCCCACATTCTCACATGCCTGGTGAACTCTTGTTCACCCTTCAAAACCCAGTTACCCGGAAAACTTTCTCAGACACGTTCCCTGTCTCCCACAAGGAGGCTGTATTTGGAGGGACCCTGTCTCTTGGTTTCATCCCACAGTATTTTGGCTAGTGTGCGTGCAGGTCTGTCTCCCCAGTCGACTGAGCTCTGGAAGGGCAGGTCCAGCACTGCTGAGTCATCGGGCCCCGCACCCAGCACAGGGCAAGCCCTTCGCAATGGCGTGTGGCCCAGATGAATCCTGAAACGAAGCAAATACACCCGCTCCCCTCCAATCCTGGACCCCTAGAAACACAGTGAGGGTTTGGGGGGTCACGGGGTACCCCTCAGAGGGCCAGCCTGGGAATGCTCGTGGCTCCCGCTCGGGAACAGAGTCCCGCCTTCTCCTCGTTAAGTGTGGTAGAGGATGGATTGCCGCACCTCACCTCCGTGGCTGGCGTGGCTCCACTCCCACCCTCTGGCACTGAGAACACCTCCTTCCCGTGGAAGATTCTAGCTCCATCTCCAGGTGGCCGTTAAAACAGCGACCTCCCAAAGATGTTCCCCCGGCAAAGAAGAATATTGAATATACTGTGGACCACCAGAGAAACAAACAAACCAGCCTTAGAAGAAATACAACCAGAATGCTCCATAGAAGGGAGGATGGCGAGACTTCAGCTCACTGACTTTGGACCCATCAATCACCAGGAAAGACCAATCACTAGAAAAGGCCATCATGTTTGGTAAAGTAGAGCGTTGGTGAAAGTGAGGGAAACCTTCCATGAGACAGATTGACACATTAGCTGCAACAATGGACTCAAACATGCCAACGACCGTGAAGGTGGCACAGGACCAGCCAATGTTTCGCTCTGTTATACACAAGGTCGCCAGGAGCAGACCGTGACTAACAACACAGATGTCCGGGTCCTCACTGCAGGACCTGTGAGTATGTTGTTAAGCGGCAGGAGGAATTAAGGTTGCTAATCACCTGACTTTGAGAGGGGAGACGGTCCTGGGGTAAGTGGGTGGCCCAGTCTGATCAGGAGGGTCCCTCAACATGGAAGAGGGAGGCGGGAGAGGGGTCAGAGTGATGGGATGTGAGAAGGACTCGCCCAGCCACTGCTGGTGTGGAAGACGGAAGAGAGCTACCAGCCAAGGACCACAGCAGCCTCCAGAAGCTGGAAGAGGCAAGAAAATGGGTGATTCTCCACTAGCGCCCCCAGAAGGAACACAGGCCTGCCGAGACCTTGACTTTAGCCAGTGAGAGGCACTTTGGACACCTGATCTCCAGAACTAGAAGATGTTGTGTTCGTGTTGTTTTAAGCCTTGAAGTTTGTGGGATTTTGCTACAGCAGCAACAGGAAATGAGTGTACCCCACTTTACGGAGGAGGTGGCTGAGGCCCAGAGAAGGGACTAGGCCAAGCCCACAGCCAGGCCTGTGGACTCCTTGCCCAGTGCTCCTGGCCCTGCCCACCCTCCTTCTCTGGCGCAGGGACAGGGCCCCAGCAAACAGAACTCTGCGGAGACGAGGGATGGGAAAGGCCAGCCGCACCCATGCTCCTGGTGCCCCAGCAAGTGAGCGGATTGTGTGCTCTGAATCAGACAAAGTGGCCAATCAGCTGCTGTGGGCAGAAGTTGGAACTTGCAGCATCTGAGCCCCCTGCCAACAGCTCCTCCTGGTCCTCGTGCCTCGCAGGGCAGATGGCAGAGCCCTACGCGTGTCAGCCTCGATGTGGGCCTTCTTGGCCTTCGTGGGCAGCAGCGCGCGCCCCTCCCACCTGCCCGGGGCCTCCCTGGGGTCTGCCCGGGGCCCTGGCCTCTTTACAGCATCCTCATCCATCTTCTGGGCTTTTGATCCGGGCAGGGGCTGCTCCACGGCGTTGCTGCAGATCTCGGCATGCTCACCAAATTCCAGAAGGGCCTGAGTCATCAGATCCTGCCCAGTGAGGTCCGCTCCCCCAATGCCAGCAGGGCTCGGGGGCCAGACCTGAGGGGCGGTCCCTGCACACCCCAGGTGGTGCCCAGAGGTCCGGCCCTTGGGCCAGCTGTCCAGGGAGTCTCAGCTGACCCCTGCCAGGACGAGCCCCTCCATGGAAAGAGGGCCCTGTGTCCCTGAGCTGGACTTTTGTCCCTGGCAAGACTGGTGGCCCACAGCAGGCTGCAGAAGCCCCGATTGTGGTGGCTCCCCAGGTCTGGGGGCTCCTTCTGGGAGTCAAGGTCTACACTTAGGGACCAGGATGATGGCCTCCTGTCCCCAGGCCCTGGCACCAGCACAGAGGTGGCCAGTGCCTTCCTGCTCCGGTGGGGCTTCTCCACGTGGACGGGTCAGCCTTCTGCCCCAGGTGTCCGCCCCAGCGGACGGGGAGGTGACTGGCTCTCTCCACATTCTTCCCCAGCTCCCTCCAGGGTGACCGGGTGGGAGGCCTGTGCTGTAGTGGGTGACTGGGCTAGTGACAAGTACTGTAAGCGGGGCCAGGTGGAGCAGAGGGGAGAGTGAACTTTCCATAATAATGGCAGCAAGAACAGCCATGCTCTTTCACTGGGTGCTCGCTGGGTGAGGGCCTCTCCTTCCTTCAGTGTCACTGTTCCCCGGTGGAGCCTGGGAGGCTAACCCACTGGTAGAAGGAGGTGGGGAACCGGGATTTGAACTCAGCTTCACCTGGCACCAAAGCTTTGCAGCTTCTAGTGCTGTGTTCTTGTTTTTTTTCTAAAGAAGTTGTAATTAGGTCTTGAGGACTGTCTGTATCTTATCTGTCCCTGGGAGGTACAAACATTTCAGCACTGGGCTACTGAACAAGAGGTTGGTGGTTTGAATCCACCCGGAGGCACCTCGGAAGAAAGACCTGGTGATCTGCTTCTGAAAGATCACAGCCATTGAAAATCCTGTGGAGTGCCATTCTACTCTGACACACATGGGGTTGCCATGAGTCGGAGCTGACTCAGCAACGGTGGGTTTAGATTATTTTTTTAAGTCTTATCTGGGTCTTCCTCTCTTTCTGTAGAATTACCAACAAAATCATCCCTGTCCATGACCCTGAATCCACCCCACCCCACCTCATCCCCGTATCCTGGAAACGTTTTCCAAGCTGAGCAAGAGAAATAAACTATGAGGGTGTGGACCACTGCGTGGGCACGGGGCCTTCCCCATCACTCTCTCCCCACAAAAAACAAAGTGGGGAGGTAGAAGCCTCCTGAGGGATAGCCAGGCGGCCTTTTCCACTCTGCTTCACCTGAAGCGCTTCGCAGCCCCACACGGAGCGTCCTGCACACAGTGGTTCCACAAAATGTTTCTCCAATGGCGTGTTTGGTCTGGCACACCATGGCCCTCTGTGGTGACGACAGCTTTCACACAGGGGCGGGGTCAGAGGCACGGAAGATCGCCAAGGTGTTTCAGAGGAAAGAGAAGGCGTGGGAGGTGGGCGGTGGGAGGGAGGGCAAACATCTTCCCCACCCCGATACCTGCATCACTACATGCCCGACTGCCAGGGACCAAGCCTTGGGGGGACCTTGACGTCTGTTTCTCCCATCCCTCTCCATTTCCAATCCATCAGCAAATCCTGCTCGCCCACCTGCAAAAAAAACGCCATTGCTGTTGAGTCAGTTCCAACTCCTGGCAACCCCACGTGTTATAGAGGAGCACAGCTGAGCTCCATGGGGTTTCCCTGGCTGTAATCATTACAGAAGCAGACCGCCAGGCCTTTCTTCTGTGGTGCTGCTAGGTAGGTTTGACCCTCCACCAACCTTTTGTACAAACAGCTTGTGCCACTCAACTCCAGCCGAAACCTGGACACTTCTCTCTCCTCCACGGCCCCGTCAGTCCCCACCTGGACACCGCTCTCTCCTCCACGGCCCCCTCAGTCCCCACCTGGACGGCTGTGGTGTAGCCTCCTAACCAGCCTCCCAAAGCCTCTCCATCCACTTTCAACCAGCCAGAGTGACGGTCTGACAGCATAAATCGCACCCCAACGCTCGCTGTTCTCAGCCCGCAGTGCCCCCCATTGTACTTCCACTGTCTCCGCATGCCCCAGGCCTCCTCTTCTCCCTGACTCCAGACCCACCAACTGCAAACACACCCACGCACTCCTGCCTCGGGGCCTTTGCACTTGCTGGCATGTCCTTCCCCCCACATCCCCAAGGCCAGCTGCTTACCACTTCCTTCTCTGCACCTTTGTCACCTGGCCAAGAGGCCTGCCTCTTTCTGGATCATCTCACCACCCTCCTCCCCTTATTCTGCTTTATTTTTCTTCCCTGGAAAGGTGTATTTGCTTATTGAAGGCTGTGTGTATTCTTCACGAGGACAGCGGTGCTGTTCTGTTCACCATGGTATTGAGTGGACGTTGAGCGAGCACGGGGATGAGTGCAAGAAGGGAAGAAGAAAGCCAGGTGCAGGGTATGATGGTTATCGGCTCTGCCGCTGAGGGTTCCCTGGCCTCCCATTCCAGGCAGGACGTAAGCCCCTGGCCATGGAAAGTGGGATGGAGTTCTATGTGGCTGCTGGGGGTCCCACCCAGCCCCACAAGGGGGAAGAGGACAGAGCAGCCAGAGATGGGTGATGGTTGGGGGAGGTGGGGAAAGCAGAGGTCACTCTGCCAATTGTTAGACTCCCTGGGTGGCATAAACGGTTAAGTGCTCGATACTAACTGAAAGGCTGGTGGTTTGAATCCACTCAGAGACACCTCAGAAGAAAGTCCTGGCAATCTACTTCCGAAAGATCACAGCCATTGGAAACCCTACGGAGCATTTCTACTCTAACATGCAGGAGGTTGCCAGGAGTCAGAATTGACTCAGTGGCAACTGGTCTGAGTTTATTTGTTTGTTTTGCGGGGGCAGCGTCAGTGTCCCTCCCTGTACCCAGCAGGGACTGAGGAAGTGCCCAAGGAATGTCCTCCGGGAGCCGTTGATGACTGTCATGGTGGTGGATTCAACGTCAAAATATAAAAACAAAGAATAATTCCAAAAATTTTGCAGAGTACACAGTTGTCTCTCCTTTTCCTCCCTTCAGAAGGGGGAGAGTTTATTCATAATAGTCAAAAAGCAGAAACAAAGAACATTTCAACGGATGAATCAATAAATGAAATGAAATGTAGTCCGTCCGTACAATGGAATAGTCCCCAGTCACAACAAAGAATGAAGTACTGACACCTGCTATGAGGTGGATGAACCTTGAAAACATTATGCAGAGTGAAATAAGTCAGACACGAAAGGACATACACGGTGTGATTCCATTGATATGAAATGTCCACGACAGGCAAATCCACACAGACAGAAAGCAGATTGGCGGTTGCCGGGGGCTGGAGGCAGGGGGAGACGAGTGGCTGCTCATGGGTGCGGGGTTTCTTTTTGGAGTGATGGAAATGTTCTAGAATCAGGTAATGGTGATAGTAGCACAACCTTGTTAATATGCTAAAAACCATTGAGTTGTGCACTTTAAAAAAGGGTGAATCTTATGGTATGTGAATTACATCTCGATAAAAAAATAAGGAGGTATATATAGGAGAAAAATAATCAAATAAGACAATAGTGCTTTCTATCGTATTGTTTCATGATCATATTTTTGGGTATTAGGTTGGGGCTACGAACAACGATGGTGATGATGACAATAACCACACCGAAAACAATAAGAGTGAACACTGAACGCCTGTAGGCCGAGCGCCAGCCCCCTCCTGGGTACAAAGCTGCATTCCCCTTCCCATGCAAGAAGTCAGCCTCTCAGTTTGCTCTGCTCCCACCACCTGTCACTGTCCTCAGTCCTCGGGATCCTCTGATCTGCAGCCCTCCCAGCTGCCTCCCTCAAAATGCAGCTCCACGGACTTGTATTCTGAATTTGGCCCTTCACTCTTTGCCAGTTCAGGTCATTCTCAGGGTTCCCCGTGGGTTGGTGGCCAGACTTGGGGTGAGAGAACGTGGTGGAGTCCCAGCCCCTCCTCATGCTGTGCACACTAAGCCTCAGTCTGCAATGTGTGATTGGGGCTAGGAGCCTCATCCTGCAGACAGCAAGGCTCAGGGGGTCCCAGGAGCTATGGGGTGCTCTGATCCAGGGGCTGTGTGACCCACCACTGCTCCTGCATGGCAGGGGCTGCAGAAACTCAGAGCTGCACCTCCTGGTGTGTGTACACTTGCGGTGACCGTGGAGCTGAGAGGGTCGGGCCTGTGGGGGTCTCCGCCACCTGCTCATGAACGGTGTTGGGTGGACACCGGCAGAGGGAGGAAGGAGCCCTAGTGGCACAATGGTGGCACAATGGTTAGGCGCTAGGTTGCTACTGGAAGTTCAGAGGTTTAAACCCACCAGCTGCTCTGTGGGAGAAAGATATAGCAGTCTGCTTCCTTAAGGATTTACAGCCTTGGAAACCCTGTGGGGGAGTTATACTCTGTCCTAAAGGGTTACTGTGAATTGAAACTGAGGACACCACAGTTGTCTCCAGGCGGGGGCGCAGACTGCACTCAGCCACGAGAGGCCACTGCAGCCCAAGGATGGGCCAGGTGGCCTGGCCAGGACTGGCATGGTGTGTGTGGGGGTTGAGGGGTGTCTTGTCTTCCCTCCCACCCAGGCTCTCCAGAGAGACTCAATGACAGTTCTGGATACTAGAACTGTGCCCAGCACCCCGAGTTCACAAATAGGAAAGGATGAACTAGAGCATTTTGAGCCAGTCTGCAGAGGGAGACTCCAGCCTTTGCCCGTGCCGAGTACCTTCCAGAACCTTCCTTGAGCTAGGGCAGGGCAGGTTGGCCAGTTGCTAGCATCTCAGGAAGAACCACAGTCTCACAGCCACTACATACACCAGTTCAGATGCCAGGGAGGGGCGCCTAAAGAAGCCCCACGCTAGCATGTAGACAGGTTCTGGCCACTTCCAGCAGGAAGACATTCTTTCTTGTCAAAATGTTGTCCTGGTCAGTTGGGGAAGTGCTAGAACAGAAAAAGCACTTGGTTACATTCTCAGTGCTCTTCACCACTCGCCTCTGCTAATGTTCTAATGAGTGTCAGGTCCCATGTTTTGTCCCATGTTTTAACTTTCACAGTTTTCCAGGGTGAGTGGGTGGTGGCGAGGGGAGAAAGGGGTGAGGAAATCTGTTCCCAAGAGGTTTTTCCTCCTGAGTTCCAAAAACAGGGCCAAGCAGAGTGTGGCCGGGACTCGCTTCTTGACCTCCACGACAGGGTGGTTTCTTGTGGCTCCTCACTGCTGAGAACTGGCCCCGGGGTTTACTGTGGAGGAAAGAGATTCCCAAATTCTCCTCACTTCCGGTTGGAGCCCCCGGCGTGAAGCGCTTGGTGCTGCTTTTTAGAACATGTGCAATGCAATGCTAGAGACCCACAGCTCCTGCCTTTTTTTTTTTTTTTAAGTTCTATTTTTGTTTTTAAGAGCACTCCCCTCACGTGAAGCACCTCAGGGTGTGTGCTGAAGATAAAGGTCAGTTAACGATTCCCGGAGGCTGGGGGCTGCAGCCGCAGAACAGACCATTGGGACTTCTGTCTTTCTACCAGTGGCTCTCAGGGGCAGGGGCGCCAGATCATCTGGGGGTGGGAGTGTTACTAAACTCCAAGCCCCCTCCCCCTCCTGAGGTGACCCCTAGGAGTGATCCCTGAGAATCCATGAGTGAGCCACTGTTTCTCAGAGCTCCCAGGCACTGGGGAGAGGGAGGGAGGACCTCCTCCTGCAGGCCATCCCCAAAGCAGAAGGGGAGGTGACCAAGACATTGACACCAGCCCCTCAGGCGGTGCTGGATGAGGCCACCACAGATGCCATGTCCCCCGCCTGGAGCCCCAGGTTTGTCCCTTGCCTTCTCTGGGCCTCAGTTCCACTTTCTGTAAAGGCACTGAGGGGACGGGATCAACGGCCGACTACAGGCCCCCAGGAAACCGGCTGACGCCTAGCCCTCGCCTGGCCAGGAGCACAGACACATGCAGGCACCCTCTGACAGGTAATGTCAGTCTCCGCCTTGAAGGCAGTGACGCCAAGAACTCATGCTGGGTATCAACGACAACAGTAACGGTAACGGTTAGGCCTCGTAGATCGAACGCTGAGCCGGCCCCTCTGTGCAGATGAGCTCATTCGTTTCTTCAGCAATGCTCACTGGTTAGTGGCGGAATCGGAACCCAGGATTTTTGTCCTGCTGATGCAAATGGACTTTTTATTCTTTTTTTTTTAATGGTGGCCTGTAACACGCAGACATACAGAAAAGAGCATCAAGCCTGTATTTAGAGCTCAACAAGTGGTTATAAAGCCACACTCAGGTAACCCTCAGGTCTAGAAATAAATGTCCCAGTCCCCCAGCCCCCACTCCTGTGCACAATTACTTCCTTGCTATTCTTCCTCTTCCGCCTACTCGGGGGCTTCCTAAACAGCGAGGTTGAGTTGGGCCATCTTGGACCCGCACGGAACGGGGTCGTATTTTGTCTCTCGGTCTGGGAGTGTGGTCCTGCCGTGTGTTCCGCCCCAGCCCTGGGTTACCTTGCAGTGGTGCAGGTGTCGCATTCCGGGGAAGCAGGCCCACGCCCAAGCTCATTCACTGCATCTGAATTTTCAAAAACCAGCCAAGTACGGTGCAACAGAATCTTCTGTTTATCGAAACCCAACCCACCCTATTTTAAGCCCTATTGCACAATGGTACTCTCTGGGGTTCTCCAGCTTCCACCCCACCTTGCTCCCCCTTCACCCCAGTTCAGGAGCCTTCCATGGGGACCACCAGCAGGAGCCTGTGAGGCTTGGGGTCCTCCCTGCCTCCTTGACCTAAACTCCTGTCCTTTGAGCTGCCCCAGCACACACAAAGGGTGGTCTGGGGAGGTCCTGGACGAGTGGCCTTTAAGGGACAGACTTTTCTCCCCCCCCATCCCCCATGCACACACTTCCCAGCAGGCCTCGCCAGTGGAAACTCCCAGAATTAAAATGTTCTGAGGCAACCATGGAGCCCTGGTGGTGCAGTGGTTAAGAGCTCGGCTGCTAATCAAAAAGTTGGCAGTTCAAATCCACCAGTCGCTCCTTGGAAACCCTATGGGGCAGTTCTTCTCAGTCTTAATAGGGTCACTGTGAGTCCACTTGGCAACAGTTTTTTTGGTTTGAAGTAACTACATTTCGGGTCAATCATAATGTCTTCAAATTGTTGTGAATGGGAAGAAAATGCTTATTTGGCCTCAGCCCAAAGACATTCTCAACAGTTTCGAAAAACAAGGTTGAGCAGCTGTATTGATTTGTTCGTTTACTTTTATGTTTTGCCAAAGGAGAACCCCTTCCCCATCTGAGACTGTCCGCGTTGGTCGTCAAGCTCGGTACACATCCGCGCTCAGCTTGGAAACGCTGAGGGGATCGGACACCCCCTCGACCAAAAGACCCCGCTCTGGTGGTGCCTTCGCAACACCTCCCACCCCTCTGCTTTCGATGAGACCCGGAAGGGGCCTTTTTCAGAACCCGAAAGATCCAGTCTGCCCCTCCCCCGCAACGGGCCCAAGACCTTGAAAAAGCTGGAGGGGGTTTCTCTCAGAGCTCAGCTGCGGGCAAGCTCAACCCCCACGGCGGGGTGGGTGGTGTTTCACGGTCCTAAGAACCCCCCTTTCCAGTTCTCCGCAGGAGGCGGGGCGCAGTCCTAACGCCGTGCTCCTCCCCCCAAGTTGATCCCCTGCCTGGCCGTCTCCAGGGCCGTTCTCCAGGAGCATCCGGAGGCTCTGGAACCCAGGGACGGCGTTCGGGCAGGGCGGCATGCGCGGGAGTCGAGCTGGCCTCCGCCATCCACACTCCAAATTCCGATGTTCGACCCAGGCTGTTTTTCTTTTCGTTTTTAAAAGTTGCGCTTTCAACTCAGTGGGTCCGGAATCCGGCTACTCGCGTACTGAGTTTCAAAGTCCAGGGACGGTTCTCTCCGGGTAAAGCACTTCAGCCTCCCTGCGTGTGGATGGAAACGGGGAACCGCCCCCAGCAGCCTCCGCGGGTCCCCTCCCCCGCAACCGCCGGGCCACTCGCTGCGGCCTGGACGGCGGTCTGGACGAACCAGCTGTGCCCGGGATTGGGGGGCTTGGGGCCGCGCCCCAGCCCCCGACGTGCGGTGTCCGCGCCCCTGGCAGCGGCTGCCCGCGGCCATCGAGCTCCGCCTCGGCCCGCCCTCCGGTGAGGTGGGTGGGGAGGGCGAGGGGAGTGGGCCCGG